ATATTTACTAGCCACTTCTTAGGGCCTCATTACACAGAAGGCAGAAGAGGGGGCCTCTCCTTTCTGTTGGAAGCTCCATGCTGTCTCTCAATTTGGAGTAATCTTCCCAAGCCTGAATCATCTTTCTCCACATGTCCATAAAACAACAAATTTAAGTGCAGCTGGGCACAGGGAGTCAATGGGGTTGGATACCCAGGGGCAACCAACAGAAGCAAAAACTGCTTCTGTCTGGAGCAAAAGGATTAAAGAAGGTCAAATGCTAAAGAGCAAGAATAACACCATATTGTCAGGGACAGCTGGAAAGGGAAACTACAATGGAGAGGTCAGAACTAACTGGTGGTGGGGAAAATCTGATTCTACTTCTCTAACGCTGTAATTACAGCAAAGAGATGGGCCCAGTGATTCTATTACCACTCTCTATTCTATAAAGTGTTTTTAGTTTGACCAAACCCTACTTTTGTTTAGGTTTGTTTTATGCTGGGATCCTGGCACATTTATACTTCATGTCTTTATCTGTAGAATTACTTTAAAGGGAAATTTAATTCATTTGTATCTCATGCCTACAAAACCTAAATTTCAACTGTTTTGCAATTTTAAAAAGCATGGGTATTTAAAATCATCTATATTTGAGCCAAGAAACTAAGTAGGATCTTAGGTTAGAACTCATTAACATTAAAGTGTTCACCTTCTAAAAACTCTTTATTAATAGGTTTACTGATTTTTCAAATACATATGATAACTATACAAATTCATACCGATTTAAAAAAAAAAAAACCTAACTATGCAAAACACCAGTTGGGGCCTTAAAATAACCAGAAAGGTGCCTAACTGATGATCAGCTGAGCTCTCTGACCTGCTCAGATTTCACAGTGATCACAGAGAAGGCATGTCCTCCAACCATACAAAAAGGGGAGAGAATAGAGGCAAAGAGAAGGGAGGAAGGGATAAAAACACATGCACGCCAAAAAAAAAAAAAAAAAAAAGTCCCCTAAAAAAAATGAGCATTTAAACTGCTTGTCAGAAGGCTTTCTGACAAAGCCACTAGAGTGTATTCACAGGCATTTGCATAAATGCTGCCGGTGAGTTCACCATAGCTGCTAGCGCTAATGGTACATAAAGTAATTTAGTCACTTCTCCCGGCATTCTGTGTCAGAATGATGAGCACCGGCACTTTGCCTTGTTGCATATTAGATCATTAGATAATAAAGTGTTAGCGCATGCAAGCTGACAGGGTCTCTGCACTATAGCTTTGTGAGGGCACCGCATTTTGCCATGGGGGAAAGAATAGAGAAACTGATGCCACAACTGGCCTTAAGTTCAAGTAAACACAACCTGAAACTCAAGAGAACAATAATGACAGTATCAACACTCCCTAAGCCTTTAAAGATCCCCAGCATACAGTCCCCAGGAATTTGCCCAAATGAAGGGAAGACAGGGCAGACACATAAGCTAGGGTTGTACATTACCATGGGTGGCAAGAATTCTTCATCTTTGGCCCCAAGTCTATGCTTTTTCAAAAACTGAAACCCTGAGAGTAGCCACCTTCTGAAGCTACCTCTCTCCACAGCATACATCTTCCATAAAGCTACTGCTTAAAGACGAAAACTCACTAGTCTAAACTCTCCCATAAATATTCAGCCAAAGAAAATCTCAGTATTTATGAATGAAGAAAAAAATGAGGGAGAGCAATTACCATGAGCTACAGCGTGCCAGGATTCACTCTCTTTGGACCATGAAAAATTCTGTGAAATAAATTTGCCTTTGTGAACTCTCCTACTTGAAATCCAGGGGCAGTTATTTGAGCAGGGAGGTTTGGAAGTCCATGGGTCACACAGGGAGGACTGCATGAATGTAAAGCATGGTCTCTATTTCTACTTATATGCAGAAACATGAGCTACGAAAGGGAACTTTCCTCCAACTGTCTGACAAGCAGGATATAAATAGAGATGTGCAGAGTTGCTCAAAATAATTCAGGCTACCTGTAAATGAGATGGTAAAAAGCCCAGAATGAGGAAAAATGAAGGCTCCTACAGGTCATCTAAAAGGTGAAAATAGCCAGCAGTCTCACTGTGTAGAGGCTGTCTGAGGTGGGGATGAAGGAAGGATTGGAGCAGCCAAGGAGTAGGGGTTTGGTTCTGGAAGTTTTAAACAGGACAGTTTCAAACAGGATTTTTCAATGGTAAGATAAAGTATTACCATACCCCCAAATCAACATGCATTAGCATTTAGGTCCACTCCCACACATCCCCAATGAAAGAGCCCAATAGTCATCCTTTGCTGAGTAGATATTTATGTATCAGTTTGAAGTGTCTAAATGAGTGGGTGGTTATGTGTGGTTGGTTGATTCATTCTGCAGAGAAGCAGATTTCCATGTTATTGTCATTACAAAGAACTTCAAGGTGTCTACCCTTTTATTCTTCTGGAGAGAAATAATGTAAGGCTTTGGTGAGAGCTAGGCCCCCTAGCTGAAGAAGACAGGACATGGCCACATCCCCACTGTTGGTTAACCATTTATTAACAAGTGAAATGTCATCATTTTCATGAACAATATGTTAATAATAACACAGCCACTCGTAGACTGGTAAATTGGAGCCGAAGAATAAAATATTGCCTTTAAAACTTAGAATAATATGATATTCCAATTGAAATATTAATATGTATACCTAGAAGCAAGGATATTTGAGCTGGGATGAAGCCTAGAGACATTTTGATCTAGAGATCTCAAACTGTTAGTCTATGGCTCTATTCCTCCTAAGTGGCATTTCCCCCTTCTTCCCTTCTAGGTTTAAAAATTTTATAATTAGTTACCAACAATTAAAAATCAGGAGTTTTTGTTCTTGCCACACTAGAACATCTGGCCCCACTGGGCCCTCAGTCCCCTTGGCCACAACTCTCTGTGGGACAATAGAGCATACACTTGCCCTTCTTCTGCAGTCTCCACCCAGCCCACTTCCCCTATGTACATGACCTGCCCCCACTCAAGGCACACAGTTTTTTTACCCCTACAGTTTTTTTACCCCTACAGATCATCACCTTCATTTTACCAAGAAGAAAACTAAGGATCCCCAAAAGTAAGGTGACTTGTTCAAGGTCACGTAAAGGTCAGAGGTGAAACTAAAAATTGAATTTACGTCGAGTCTTTCCTCCACATCACAATACAAAATAATGTTCTTGACCTCCATGTTCTAGAAGCGTCTTTCCTAGCAGGTTGTTTCTGTAGGTTTGTGTTCCCTGCCCCCCCCCCCACCCCTCACCAAGTAGAGGGATGATTTGCAATTTGCATGGTGTCATGTGGTCTGTCACTGACTTCCCAAGGCCAGGAATGGGAGCTGGGTGTAGTCTGCACTTGGAGCACATTTTGAAACTATGAACCCATGACTGGTAGATTTCAAAGTGATAGTCAAGTCTGTCCTTGGACAGGGCAGTAACCATTGTAACTAACCAGCCACAGTCAAAAACAAGACTTCAGTTTTTAAGCCACTGCTCTCCAAATTGTGCCCAGTGAGTATATACCTAGTTTTTCCTCTTCCTTTCCTCTAAATACTTCTAGTAATACAATGCCTTAAGTGACTCCAAGGGTATTAAAAAGGCAATATTACTATAAAGTGAGGATCAGAATAATTTCAAGTACAGGAATGGAACTAGGAATGTAATCATGAGCAGGTATTTCAAATGGCCTTCTGCAAAAAAGTAATATCCATCCATCTCAGCACTAATGAAACCATAAAGAAGCAGCTTTTGAAAGATGATGGTTTACTTTAAAAAGACTGTAAAACTGGTGAAGAATCCCTTCTAAAAGTGTTACATCTGGCTAATTAATAAAAAGTAGTTTGTATATTCCTTAAGTGCAGGAAAAAAAAAAAACAGGCAAAAATAATGATAGTGGTATTTTTATTAAATTAGAATGCTGGCAGGGAAGGGGGTTTTCTACCTTATGAATTATATCATGGACGGCTCATGGCCCTTGGAAAAATCAGACAATCAGGTGGTAATTTGTGCAGTAGTGTTTTTAAAAGAATCCTGCTGACCTAGCAAACTAGAAAGTGAAGTAGAGAAATGGGTTTAGAGTTTAACTTGAAGAAGATAAGAGACATTCTAGCATAGTGATTGGTATTGAGTAGAGTCTCAATCATTGTTTCCTGGATGGATGGTTGGATGGATGGATGTATAAATGATGAATAGATGGATGGGTGGATGGAGGATGGATAGATGGATGGATGAGCAGACAAAGGAAGAATACATTACATATACGTGTAGTACAGAAACATTCAGATGTACATTCATTCTAGCCCGTGGTTCCTTTGAATGGTATTCACTTTCCTTGATTCAAGTTTTTATCTGGTTTCCTCTAGTCCTCTCAAAGCTACCACTGATTAGCCACAAATTCAAGACAAATGTGATTTCACCTAAACAAAGTCCACCTACAGAAAGCAGGCTCTATTATGTGCTGATGAGGGGAAGATTATGCACGAGGCACAAGAGGGACATTTAGTTTGGGCTTCAAATTCAGAAAATGCCTCTGACCTAGATTTTGGACATTATCTCCAAATGAGGTTCAATATGAAGTTACAGAGGTACACCAGCAGGATTGTAAAGATGGTGGAGTTCATTAAACAACCAAGTCAGTTATAAACCCAAAATGTATCACAATATTTATGACCTTCCTTTGGCCTTCCTTTATTTTTCAGTCAAGTGGGAGCTGGAAATAAAGCAGTGGTCCAGGTCTCCCTGGAGACCCAGGTCTCTCTCAACCTGAAGGAAAGATGCATCAGCCATTTCCAGGGTAGAGAGATGTGCAACAAGAAAGGCTGGGCCTCCAAGATGTCTTCCTGTCTTTCAATACTTAGTATCAATAACGTTCAATAGAACATTTGAAATTCGAAACAGAGTAGAAAATGTGGTGGAGTTGGAAGAAAGAAACCAAATAGATTCACAGTTAAAGTAGCAATGCCAACCAATGAAAATGATTTGCCTACCATGTTCCAGATAAGAGGGCGTACCTTCCGAGGGGTCAAGCCTCCGAGCCCTCCGCCCATGCTTAGAGTTATTATGGACAAACATGTTATCAGAGACTGCCAGGACATGGCCATCCACATTGACTGTCGTAGACACCACGACCTGGAGACAGAAGAGAGAAATGAATGAACATTTTAATATAAAAGCATGGAGGGTAATAAACTCAAGTTAAATAAATAACAGCTGGGAGCTGAAGAAAATTGCATAGCTATTTCACATAATAACTGGTGCTTATGCTGTACAAGTCTAACAAGAGGAGCTATTGATGAGTGGGTCTTTGGCATGGAACGCTTTTGATGCAGTTTTAAGTAAAATTGCACAGTTTATAGTTATACAGCAGAAGGTACACTGTTAACCATAATTTTAACAAGAGGATCTTTATTAGCATATTTTTTTTACACAACGGTGGTTGTGTTTCACCTAAATTACCCTTCAGTTTAGACACTGAAGCAGATATCACAGTTGATCATGCAAATAAAAATCTTTTGAATCTTTAAAATATTCCCCCCCCCCCCCCCCCCCCCCACTGTGTCAGGGTTAAGAGGATAGAGAAATGAAAAAGAGAGGTTTCAGTGAGACCTGGGATGCAGCTTTCCCTCCTGGGCGTCTTTCTGGTGTTTCTTGTACTTTTTTCTTCCCACATTACTTCGATTAATCAGACCAAACTTCCTTCCCCCTCCCCCACCCTCACCCCCATTACCACCAACAGCACAATCCCTCCCCAAAAGATCATTGGTAATGAAGGGTCTTAGATCTGTGTTTCGAAGCCAAAAACAAGCAAACAAAACACAACAAAACAAAACAAGAAAAAGAAATGGTGCCTTTGGCCCAAGATGTAATTCAGGTACCCTGGCCATGTCATAACTGACTCTGAACCCAGTTTGCCAGAAGGGACACAGGCAAAGGTGTTTTCTCGGAGAACTTTGACTAAAACAATGAGAAAAAAATGACCTACACTTCTCCTTATATTAAATGGGGAAGAGGATTAAAACTGAAACCCACAGAGATATGTTTATTCATGCGACCTCTTACAACCAAATATAATAATTGTCTGTAATTGCAGCTTCAGCTCCCACCTCATGCTTTGACATGGGAAACAGCAATCAGCCAGCTCCCGTTTAATCCACCTATTATGTTGACTAATTAACTTTCCTCGACAGTTTATTTCTTCCTCCATTATCAGCCCCTGTCAGCCGCAAGCACCCTGCAGCATAGGGGGGACCTCAGGCTCTTTGATTGATCACCGATAGATTGACATGCAGATTAATTTAATTAGAATCACCTCACTTGAGAAATGAAAGACAAAGGCAAGAGGGCTAATAGATCTGCTCTCATAATGAGGCGAACCTCCAGAGCCAAGGCTGAGGATTTCTGATTTATTTTGCTCAATTCCCCAGTTGCTTGGAAAGACTCTCGCTTTAATTGTTCTTGGTTTTGAGAGGCATTAGCCTCTGAAGAGGTGAAACGCTTTACAAGGATTGGCACACACTGAGGCCCCAGTTTCTGAGGAAGCCTTTTCGCCGACTTCTAGAGTCTGGTGCAACGCCGCTGTTTCCTCCCGTGACTTGAGCAGAGGGCAAGACGCTGGGTCTTGGCCGAAGCCTGCCTGTTGTCTGCCCAGCCTAGCGGAGTGCCCCCCACCCCCACCGACGCCAACCATACTTGAAAGTTCCACTGTCGGCGTCTTTGACCTAAACGCAACTGGGGAAAACATGGCGGAGTCCCCTTCTCGCAGCCTCAAAGATGGCAGTGAAATGCAGGCTGTGAACACGCTGCTCCCAATAGTACCGTGGAGTTGGTTGGACTTGATCTGATTTGCCTTAACCTGGTTATTAGTTTTCGTTGGTTTTTTTCTTCCACGCCCTCCCTTCTGTAGACGCGAGGCCCTGCTCCTTAAATCAAGCCCCTAGTGTCGTTCTGACCCGGATGAGGAAGTCAGGAAACAACACACGTGGTCATTCCACCCTGGGGTCTCCCAGGGATGACTGCAGGGCAGGGCTTCTGGGGGTCCTCCCACGAGGCCCTCTCTCAGGGTCCTCTTCTTGACTCCTGGCCAGACCTGGATCTTCCCCTGATTTTATTTTTTAATTCCATTTTATTAAACTACAAAGTAAACAATTGAGAGTCCATTCCGGGACTCAGGGTTTTGGCCTCAGTAATCGTGAAAACCAAAATTCCAACTAGGGCAAGTCATTCATGGGAGGACTGCGTACACTTGAAGCAGCAGTTTGCAAAGTGGTTTTTCTCTTTCTTCATGATTGACCAACCAGATCTGACACAGCCTGAACATTATGTGTATGCCTCATCAATTGTAGGGTAGTTTAAAAGGAGGAGGAGGAGAAAGAGAAGAAAGTGGTCCATTCTTTTATTTTCAAAAAGTATTATGTGCCAACGTAGAGTCCATATTATTTAAGGCAAGAGAAACTCACTTTCTTTTTAGTTGGGGAGGTGGGACATTTATAATTATATAACAGAGCTGGGTCTTTCAAAGAATTTTTGATTTACTACGAGACCACAATTGAGTGGTCACTGGAGTCGTTAGCTGAAGAAACTATAAAAGGAATCCCAAACGGTATCTGTTTCCAGTGTCAGGAAATACAGAAAGTTGTTATTCTAGACGTCTGTCTTGAGAGAGGAAAAAAAAAAAAAAAGCAATGACAATTCACCATGCACCTGTAAGACAAAATGCTACAGGCTTAGGCTTAAAATATTCAGTATCGTTTAAAGATGTTGTCATCTAGTTCTTACATTGAACAAAAATGACAAAAACGGTTAAGTTAAAAAAAAAAAAAAACACAACAACAACCACACTCTATGTGTTTTTTTTTTCTTTGCAAAAGAAGGATCACCAAGACCACTGTGTGACAGAATCATTTCACTGAAGTTTCAATTCCAATTGGAGAAGGATAAAACAGAATCCTCATGCGTTTAATTTCTAGAAAATAAACACCTAATATGTTCCTCAAAAACTCATGACAGTACATTTTAACTTCCCGCTTCCCAAAATAATTTCTCTCATTCCAATTTGTGAATGATGAAGATATCTTTAAATAAAACATAAGCTGAAATTAATCTACAGAACTTGTAAATTTTTAAAAAATCTGTGAGATGCAGAGGGGGCACTGAAGTGTCCTTTAAAAACAGGCCCATAGTGGGAAGGAAAGGGCCCACACAGTTTAACCCAAGATTAATGAGGTGCTGACACATTCATGCAGGCAAGGGGACAGACAGGCCTGCCAACTCTTCAACCTTCCCAAATTTTGTCAACAAAACACAGCTTGAATTTGGGACAGGTAAACATGGAAAATGATTTTACATTTGGACTCAACACTTCCCTCTCTAACCCCTTCCTCACTCTCCTACCCAGGGAAAGAAATGAAGGGAATATGAGGAACAGGTATATTTAAATTTTTATGGTATGTGTTATAAATAAGTCTTTATTTTTTAGAATTGTACTTTCCAATACAGTAACTACACATGTAGCTATTTAAATTTAAACTAATTAAGTAAAATTTTAAATTCCATTGTTTCTGAGTCTCCATAGCTACATTTCAAGTGGTTAGTAGCCACATGCAGCTAGAGTCTACTATTGGACAGGACAGATATAGACCATTTCCATTGTTGCAGAATGTTCTATTGGGCCGTGCTCCTGTAGAATGGTTTTGAAATAAATTGTTCCAATTTATTCATGAGGATGTCTGAGTTATGTCTCCTAAAATAGGTATTAGTCTAAGTTGACATGTTTAAGGTTATGTACAAGTATATTTTTATCACTATATTTTTTAGAATTAATTTTCTATTTAGGGCATAGGTTTCTAATACAGCAATCCATAGGTGTACTGATGAACACCCAGTGTGTTCCATGGTACCTTCTATTTGGGTCCAGCCCCCCAGGTGAGGGCTCTCAGCATGAGAGGATTAAAAAACAAAAAACAAACAAACAAACAAAAACAAACAAACAAACAGACAAAAACCAAGAGAAATCTGCAGGTACCCATGGACTTTGGAGATTTTACATTACCATCTTGGCTCATCTCAGTGGCTCAGAATCTCCTCTGTTTTATCCAGGAACTAGATATCCCTAAACATTGTTATTTTTACAATTTTACCCTCTCAATTTAGAATTGGAAAAAATTCAATACAAAATTTATGATGCTGGACTCCCTATCTTTCCTAGGTGATGTGACTCTGGCCAGGTTAACTTAACCCTAAACCACAGTGTTCCTGCCTCTCAAGAGAAAAAAATAATAACAATCCCTGATTCTGTGAGGCTTCCATTATTTAAAGTGGCCAGCATGGCTCCTGGCTCCTACTGAGCACTCAAAAAATGTTAGTGGCAGTAGTAGTGTAGTTGTTGCTTTGTTGGTGATACTCCACAAAAAGTTCAAGATAATGTGTTGGGCTGATCATCTGAAGCCTAAAGAAGACCCAGTATAAACTGTTATTTTAAATAAAAGGATACAGAAACTATCTCTAATATGTTCACTGCTTTATCAGTCTAACAATGAAATCGTACAATTTTAAAGACCTTTGTTCCCACAACATATAATTATATCATTTAGGCCTCGTGTGAATTGCAAATTTCACTGGTTTATATAATTTTACTGTCTAGAACCCATTGGCATCTTAGCTTATTATATTCTAGGCTTGAAACCAAACAAAATCTTATGGCTTTGAAAATAATCTATAAACTAGACATCAATTCAGTCCAGTTTCATATGAATCAGGGGTTCTCTGGGAGTTTTGTTATTGGTATTTCCTGCTATCATTCTTCAGGCTGCCCCTGTTTTCTGCATATCAGGCAGGAGACCTTGTATGTCCCAACTAAATTATCTAAGATTCGTGAACCATAATCTCTGTCTCATGAGCAGATTTTCAAAAAGACAAAAGCAGCTAAAATCCAGTCATGGGTGGAAGATCACATTAACAAAAGTAGCAGTTCATGGAGAAGAAGGATTTATGACAAAAGCAACCAAAAGAGTTGAAATCTGTATTTTTAAACACTTCCAAAACAAATATGGAATCAAGAGAAAGATTAGATCATAAAAATATTTTCAATGCTTAAATTTAGAATATTTTAGTAGTAAGTACCTCCCTCCAAA